TTCTTTCTGTTGTTATAAAAGACGGAGTTCCTTTTCAACAGTTTCTTTACACTGTTAAAAGAATAATTCAGATCAGTAATGGTAAAGTAGGCTGACAAGGGAAGACTATCTTTTAAAAAATAAAAACGCTGGATAATTTTAAAAATTGAAAAAAAATTGCCACTCTTGCAAGCAAGAAAGGGAAATTCTTCAGTTCTAAGCAAAGGAAAACAGTAAAGCTGAGGATTAGAAGGAACCAAAGGTAATTATTTGCTGAAGCCCAGTGGCTCATGTGAATACTGGAACCGGAGACAGGAGACTGAAAGATTAGAAAGTAACAGATTACTGACCTGTGCAACAACATGGGTGAATCTCAAAGTAGTGATAATAGGCATGATAACTATGCTGAGTGGGAAAAGTAACACCAAAAATAATACATGCAGTATGATTCCATCTACTAGAGAACACTTTTGAAAATATGAATTAATCTATAGCAACAGCAGATCCAGTGGTTGCCAGAGGATGTGGGAGATGAGGCAGAATAGAAAAAAGAGCACAAGGACATTTTTGGGGATGATAGATATGTTCATTATTTTGAGTGTGGTGACAGTCTCACAGGTTTGTCAAAACCTGTCACATCTTACACTTCAAATATACATAGTTTATTGCATATTCAATTATATAACATGAAGCTGTTAAAAAGAAACAAACAAGCAAAATTAATCTCTTTCTTCCCATATAATTCATGCAATCTATCTGTTGATAGGAACTTGGTTGTCTGTCCCATAGAGTATCCTATATTCTGCATTTTACTGATGGCAGTGAAGGAGCTATATATTGAAGTATAGCCATATGTTGACAGTTGTTCAGGCTGGGTGACTGGTACATGAGGGATCATTATAGTATTGTAAACATTTTTTTCAAATAAACAGTTAAAACAAATCCTGGGTCCCGTCCTAGAGGTAATGAATCTCTTAGGGGTTGAGTACAGAGATATGCATTGAAAAAAAAATCTTCCAGGGTGTTTACTGAGGATTATTGCCCTAGATCGAAGAAAAGGACTCTAATGGAGGAATGAATTTCATGTAAGATATGAGAAAAATTGTTTCGGGTAAGTGTCTTTTTTGTTTCTTGTCAAACTGGAAAAACAAGCTGGATGTGGTAGTGCATGCCTCTAGTCCCAGCACTCTGCAGGCTGAGGCAGGAGGATTGCTTTGAGTTCAAGGTCACCTTGGGCTACAAAGTGAGTACAAAGCCAGCCTGAACTGCATACCAAAACCCTGTATTAAAAAATAAAAATCCAACAATAACACCAACTAAGTTAGGTATTCTTCAAGGGGAATTTATGGCTTTGCTCACCTCCTCCACTGCTGAGGAAATTTTCTGATTCCCAAATATATATTGTTTCAGTGTGTTCTTTTTCAGTCTTAAAAGAATGGTTGTAGTAGGGCGTGCTGGCACATACCTGCAATCCCAGCACTCTAGGAAGCTGAGACAGGAGGATTCCAAGTTTGAACCCAGCCCTGGGAATTTAGTGAGATGTGAAGGTCCTGGTTTCCATGCCCTGTTCACCTCCCCCACCAAAAAAAATTGGTGATTTTAACATAGGCTTAGTTTATCATACAGGTTTAGCATGATTTGTCGAATACTCTGAACTTTAGTCCTACATAAAACTGAAATAGAAAGGCTTTTCTCCTCTAGCTCTAGTCTTACTTCTATTACATCTTTTGCTTCTGCTGTGATTTCCCCTTTCCTCAAGTAGCCAGGATTGTTTCTTCCAATCTTCCTACTATCAAAAAATGACTCAGAAATCATACAATACACTTGTTTATATAAGATTAGGAATTAGAGTTATGAAGTACTCTTTTCCAGGAAAGCCAATTTAAATAGGCACAGAATATAAATTATAGCAAAAAACAAAGTGATGAGTTCTCAGACATCAGGTAACCCTTTCAGGGAAGGATTTTTTTTGTGGGGGGGTGGTCAAATTCCTTTCACGACTCTTTAATATTCTAAAATCTTACTAAATAGGTTATTACCTATTTATCCCATTGGAACTATATCCCGTAAGAGTTGTATAATATAACTATAGCTCTTTCTTCTCTAACATGCATAGAAAAGTTTAGCTTTGGCTGCAAATAGTAACAGGTTAAACTCTCCTAGATAGCTAAGAACATTTATTGGCTCAGAGAAGTCACTAAATCCAGAGGAAGGCTTCAAGTGGGCTTGAACTCTTCCACCACGAGTCAGCTTCACCTCAGGCTGGCTTTCCTAATGATAGCAAAATGGCCATAGTCACCACAGGACTCACATTCACCCAGCACTCCAGTCAGAGTAAGAGAAGGCGCTTTTCGCTTTCCAGCAAACATATCTTGTTTTCCATTTGAACAATTTAGACCCAGGTTGAGTGCCTATCCATGAGCACTGACAGAGGCAGGTGAGGGCTGGAGTAGGAGATAGGTCTCATCCCACTGAAGTCCCTGGCTGCCTACAATTGCAGAGAAGCAGAAATGCATGCTGGAGTAGCCAGCCAGTAATACCCATTATAAAAGTAATATGATATTCCATGTCATTAAATACCTTAAACTCTTCAAGTTTATAGTTCTTATGATGGTATTTGTTCATAGGTTTTTGATATTATGATACTATAAGTTGGGAGTTGCAGAGGTAGGAGGATTGCCACAGGTTTAAGGCCAGCCTGAGCTCCATAGTGAGTTCAAGGCCAGCTGAACTGCATAGCAAGACCCTGTCTCAAAAGAAAAAAAAAGGGGCGTTGAAGACTTGGTTGAGGAAAACAAAAGTGTAAGCAGTGATAGGGAATGTAAAGATAAATCAACATGCATGTCCTGTAGCTGATTGTTATCATGTGACAATGTGAGCCCACTGTTACCAAATCTGATTTTTAAAGAAAAATCCAATGTGCATATGAAATTGCCTAAGTTTTAGCTCTTGAGTTTTTTTAAACTGTGCCTCCTGCCTTAGCCTCCTTGAGTGCTGGGATAAAGGTATGTGCCATCAGACCCTGCTGCTTTCACTGTATCTTATCTTTGTTCCCTCCAAGTTCAGTACAGAACAGCTGGTAATTAGAGGTGTGCTATGTGGCTATGAGACAGAGGTTTTCCTTCTTGTGAGCAAGCTGGAACATGGATTAATCCTACCATAAGTGGCTTAGCTGTCACGCTTCCCTGATATAGAAGAACCAACTAGTAATGGTTAGTGGTACCCACTATTATTTTCAAAGCCATATGGAGCTGAATTTGGGGAACATCAAACTGTTTTTGGACTTTTCATAATTAAGAAATTCTCTTTTTCTGGGTTAGTTTTTTCTTGAATGCTGATAATTATGACAGCATTGTCCTTTTATAAAAAAGCTTTGCTCCAGTTAGAAGATAACAGAAGACAGAAATAATGACTTCTTCATGGTGCCTATTGGAACTTTACTAGTACTTATCAGAATCTCAGTACTATACATTGCATATTTATTAGCAGATCCCATACGTCTCAGGAAGTCAAGAGATGATCTGTGTTATTCTAACCTAACTGGATTAGATATCATCAAAACTTACAGCATTCACTGAGTCAGGCCCAGGCTAGAAAGGCGCCTAGCAGATAGGAGAAACACAAAATAGATATTTGCACATCCTTGCTATATCGCAGTATCTACAGGTATTAAGATTAGAAAAGTCGGGGGCTGGGGATTTAGCTCAGCGGCAAAAGCGCCTGCCAGGCAAGCGCAAGGTCGTGAGTTCGGTTCCCGGTACCGGAGAAAAA